TACGATGATAAACCTATCAACCTATCAACAAGGTCGATTCATGGACATTTCCTTCTTGGTAGTTCCTACCTATTGTCTCTTGACATCTTCCTTTCCAGATCACCCAAATGACATTATATCCCATTCTTGGGAATGGTAATCTTTCATTCGTGAAAACGGTAATCTTTCACATGGTAACCATTTACTTGAAATTAAAACCGAGATACTAATATGATGAATTTTTTCAAATATTTCCCTTCTTTGTTAAAAAAATTCCCATAATTTAAACATTTTGCCCCAAATTTGTTCTCCTTTAGGGCAAAGTAACCGACGAGGAGCAAAATCTCCCGTCAATGCTAAATTTCTTATCCAGGACAGGTTGTTGCTACAGTAAGTTTCAATATCAATTTCATCTGCATCACTTTTACTTTTGGTGATGGGGTCGAGAACTCCCAACCCCCCTTATTTCTGTTTTACGATGATGTAATTCCAAATTATTCCATCCTACCTTGCAAATAAACCATTGTTTAGAGGGGTTCCCTTTCCCCGTCCATAGGTAGGCCGTCGTCGTCGCCGTCGCCGTCGCCGTCGCCGCCTTCTTGAGTTTACCAAAATTCTGGTCTTTTCTCTCAGAGCCATGTGGCAAGTGTCATGGAGGGACAGTAGACGTATGCCACTGCTTCCAACGGCGTTTTCGTTAAAAATGAATTGTTTTGTAAAAAGTGAACATAATGAAATTAACGAAGTAACCAAACAAAAGGTAAATTGTAGAACAAAAAAAAAATAGGATTTTAATATTCCGGCACAATGTAAATCTGAAGCAGAAAACTGTCCAAATGATTAGAATATAAACGAAAAAAAATGACATCGTATGCGAAAGAAAGAATTGCGAAATTTGTAAGACCCTTGACACATTTAAACAAAGAGCAGCTCTCTAAAGTCCAACTCTTAGACCTTAAGTTGCTTCAAACTATAAGAACACCCTTCATATGGAGACCGTGGAAGGAAAATTTAATGCAAAAGTCCATTGACAATTATGTCAAAAGCAAAGCAGTGCCATTTACATCAGCTCAATGGTGCGTCAGACTCTATGAACTCTTAAAATTACACATTGTCAAAATCTTTGTCAAAGTTGACTATAATTGAAATCAACTTCTAGGCACTGCTAGATAACATTCAAACCGTTACGATATTCTAAGGCTACTTGAATCAGATCTAAGTACGTAATGGACATATTAACACGATCTGCGTGATAAATTTCACGCTCTCCTCATGTGAATTGTCCAATCTTCTACAGTGCTCGTCTCATTGTGCCCATCGAACATGGGGTCCTTGTACTTTACATAAGTTTCTATGACTTCATACTCTCGTAACAGAAGACTCCGTAAATATGTAACCGTTGTGTCCACGAGCCCATCCACGAGTGCTTTGAGCGACGGTTGGTCTATGATCCTCCTTCCAAATGCTTTTCGTCTTCGTCTGTCGATGTCATGTGCATTGGATATGTTTGCACTTATAGAATGATCGTTATGAATAAGAAAAGAAAGTTTGCAGCGCCCTTGGATACTTGACGCTGCACAGTACAAGGTCATCACCTTGAAGTCGTTGTGGTAGAACTTCAATGCTGAATAGTACAATTCTGAATACGGTGCGAGCACTTCTCGCGGATATTATCTTGTTCCACAACACCTACGACCACAAATATACAAACATTGTCGAGGATAATGCTCCCAGCAATCCGGTGCGACATCCACACCTCTGACACTGAGTACTGCACCCTCGAAAACCACTTCAGGTGTGAAAAAGATAGACCCCATATCATGCCATACATTTCTGCCCCACACTATATTGCTTGGCGGCCATCTTGTCGTTGAATGAACCATTCTGCAACACATGAAATACAAAAGTAGTAAAAGGCAAGCCAATGATATATAGTTTAACTATATATGAATGAAAGCTCAATGACAAGTAAATGGTACACCAACATGCACGAAATGAGGCCTTCTCAGCGACTTATCCTATTGGTCTTCATCATCTGGAAGTGAAAGACATGCCAAGGCTTTCTCTCTGACCGATTTGGGAATGTGCACTCCATTTTCCAAATGCAACGTCCTTGATGACCAGCTCCACAAAACACAGTTCACGTGCTGCCATTGCTGTGCTATTGTGCTGTCTTTCTTCCATATCTTATTCCATGCATTTGCATATTGCAGAGAAAGACTTTTAATGACAGGTTGTGGCACCCAATATTTAATAAGAACATGATTGAAAGCAGGCGACTTCCTATCGTTGTCAATATTAGAAATGACTTTACCCATCCACACGGGAACTCCCTGATTGATATCATCTTGCGAAGGATGCAAGAGAACGAATTGACCATTTTCGACATCCACAACCGGGTCGAGCTCTGCTTTTGGACGCTCATTGGCTGACCCAACAAACAACGGCTCCTTATTCTCATTGCTCTGCAAGAGGAAGACAATATCTATATCCTCAGCATCGTCCTTCGTAATTCTGTCATGCGAGGGCCAAAAGTCAGCCTTGAGTGATGTTTTCGCAAAGCCAGACCCATAATTTTGCTCGATTGTGTCCAGGAAAGTTTTCCAGTGTGAAAAAGCACTCTTCTTTGAGAAACTAACCTCATCTTTTATTCCCAACCACTCGTGCCGCTTGTTTTCTAACCACTCAACAAACGTCTTCACGCCTTCAATTCCTGATTTGAAATCCGAATTCTTATACTTAGCGGGTTGACCACGTGATGTTTCTATAACAGGTCGAATAGGTGACGGGAGAACATGTGAAGGCTCGAATGGCCATTCAGGTCCAGCATATGCTTTATTTTCATCTCGTTTAAAGCAATAGACCGGAGAAGACCAATGCGGAGAAGTGCAATACTCTTTCCACTGGAACAAAGAATTGTCATCCTCCATATAAAACCTAAATAAATGTGTCTTTGTATGACCGGTCAGTCTGTTGACCATGAAGGGCTTAACAGCTCCCCGCCCGTCAGCAATTTCATCCATAAATGTGCATAAAGGACGCTCGTTTTGGAAACTGGCAACGAGTTTGAACAGGTCGAGCATGCATTTTCAGTTTGCGGGAGAAATGACTAAAAGTGGCATCAACGTCCGTATGTGTATGTCCTACCAACATAAAACCGAATTCGATTTCTTTGAAGAAGCCAAATTTCACCAAAGCTGCGGCCAAAGACAAAACGTATTTGTTTTTGTTTTCTCTCCAGAAGTTGTCGGCTTGTATCCTCAATTTAGGAGGTAAGTCGCTTGTCGTCTGTATGTCACGCAAAACTTTCATAACGGATGACACCACAATATTGGAATCATGTGGATAGCAAGGGTACCATGTGTGAACATGCACTGATGGTGAACGGCCGTGTGTGATAACAACTGTTAAATTTATTTTCATCATTAGAATATTCGCCAATGCCTTCGACTTGTTTTCTCCGCCGAAGTGTGAAATACTCGTCTTGCTTTGGTCCATACCGTCAATAATGATGCATAAACTGTTGGAACCTGGTCTCTTCGACTCATCCTTCCACACCTCATAAGCAGCACGGTGTTGGAGCTGCAAGTCCAAGTGTTTGTCGCGTTCCGAAACGAAATAATCACGCACACGTACGAACTTCGCAGAATGAATAGATTCTTTGAACTCAACACACTTCTCGCATTTCACAAAGTTTTGATCAACTTCATGGAATTTCACATGCCAGAAGTGTGTTCTCCACATGTTATAGAAAACTTGGAGAGAAGCAGAAGGGATACCCAGGTTGTCAAATTGTGACTTCAACAACTTATAAATGTCAACCTTGTTATAGCAAGCAGGCAATCTCAAAACCACTCGTGATTCTCCATATTTGATCCTCATGTCATTGGGCATGGAATCTCCATTGTCACGCATAAAGGAGCTTAGTTTGTCGAACATCGTCGCATATGTTGCAGATGTGCATCTGAGTCCAGTGCTGCCATGCTCCGACATAATGTAATCTTTTGACAAAGTCACCCTCTTTTTCAAAAATGTATTCCTACACATACCCAGTGTGAAACACCATGCACTAATGCACACCTTTCTTTTCCCCACAATAGGTTGCACAATCTCTTTCTCATCTTCCACGAAGGTGAACCTCTTTAACGTTTCAACCCACCATGCATCTCTTCTTTTGTGATCCTTACAGTAATATGCACTCCAAACAACTTTGATGTCTTCCATGGTCATGCGAGCGCAACAATCTTGTTTACAACAAACTTGTCCGCGCTCACTCGCCAGTGTTTTTTTGGTGAGCTTTCTGTGAACTGTTTGCAAAATCTTCTTTGACCGAGGCATTCTGACACGGAAAGTATAAGGACGCTTCTCCGACGACAAACGTTTGGGGAAAATGTCATCAAAATCAGAGATGACATCAGAACTCTCCATACCGTTGCGACAGTAGTGGTCAGTGCCATCATCATCGCAAGGTTGTGGATGATCAATTTTGTCTGGAGAACTGTTGGCGTCAGATGACATCGAAGCACCAGATTCCGAACCATCTTCATCACTCTCGCCAAACAGAAGGGCTGTGCCCTCGAAATCTCGTAGCGAACTTCTCGACACCCACATGATACGATCTACATTGGATGTGTTCCTGTCATCGGAGGCGGCCCTACCCTGACCTTCCGAACCTTCTGCATCAGAGGTTTTCACTGGCCCACCCAAGGCTGGAGATGCACTTTCGCATGCGGTTTCTTCACATGCAGCCATCCGGGACCTTTTATGATCAGGAGATTTTGGAGTTATTTGAACGTCTTGCGAAAACATTGGCAGGTCCATGGGAGGAAGCTCATCACTAGGCAGTATATTAGATGCCACACAGTCCATGCTTTCCAAAGTTCTGCTGGCAGCTTGCCGCGGTGCATGCCCACCACAAGCCATTTAAAACGTTTATGTGATGACAAAACAGTGGACCATTGGCACAAGACATACATATCAGTAACAAATCCGCAGCTAGATGGATCACATGCGGTATATGTAGAGTGTAACACATGTGGTTCAGCGCCGCCACTGCTAGCCATACACTGCCGAAGTAAGGCCCGTGAATGCGGGAAAAAGTATAGTCTTCAACAGAAGCGATGCACGAGAGACACGACTGGCTGTCGTGTTGACGCGATGATCTGCCGCCTCGGTCGTGCCCAACACGACGGCGCATCATCGCATTGCACAACACGACGGGCGCACACGGCGAGATCCACCGTCACCGTATTCTCATGACAGCGCGGTCATGTCCACCGCCGTCGTGTTGAAGATGATGATGAGCAACTGCTTGCTTGTTGAACGCGACCGTGCTTTGGTGGCGATAATGTCCGCGTTCGACCGTCGCATGTTGAACATTACCACCGGCACGGCGGCTACGAGAGTGACCGTCATCGCATCGAACACGACGGCGGGGTCGGGGTGTGCCACCTCTGTCATGTTCGACACGATGACAGCGACCGTCATCGTGTTGAACACGACGACGTGATCGTGTTCACCATGTGGTGTATATGCCCTCGCTCGAGCGTCATCGTATTGAAGACGACATGCTGTCGCTTTTGACACGAGGACAGCGACCGTCACAGGTTGAGCACGATGGCGGGGTCGAGGAGTGCCACCGCGGTCGTGTTCGACACGAGGACAGCGACCGTCAGCGGGTTGAACACGACGGTGGGGTCATGTTCAGAACGTGCTGTACATGCCCACACTCGACCGTCACCGCATTGAACAAATATACATCAATCTAACTCTACAAATAAATATAACTGATTTTATATGTAACTTATTCTCTATAAATTATTGATACAACTTCTTGGGTTGTGGGCAGCCACCTCTGTCATGTACGACACGATGACATCGATCGTCATCGGGTAGAACACGACGGTGAGGTCATGGGGTGCCACCGCGGTCGTGTTCGACACGGTGACAACGACCGTTATCGGGTTGAACACGATGGTGGGGTTGCGGGGTGCCACTACAGTCATGCTCGACACGATGACAGCGACCGTCATCGGGTTGAACACGACGGTGAGGTCAGGGGGTGCCACCTCGGTCGTGTTCGACTCGATGACAACGACCATCATCGGATTGAACACGACGGTGGGGTCATGTTCAGCACGTCGCGTACACGCCCGCGCGCAACCGTCATCGTGTCGAACACGACTGTCGTCGTGTCGAACACGACGGTCATCGTATCGAACACGACGGTCGTCGTGTCGGACTCGATGATGGACAACTCTGTGAAACTGTGGGAGAAGTTCTGTTGACGTCCTGAAAAAACACGAATGACGAATAACAGCAGTGGATGGGCGCGATTGGGGGGTTGTGGCGGGGGGGGGGGG